ACTTTAACTAAGTGTTTCTTTGTTAATTAAGCAAAATATTTTTATAATATATTTATGTTTAAGGAGGATTTTGGATCGAAGATATTACATAAAATTAGTTTTTGAGATGTTTTGGTTTACCAAAACACAAGAATACTTGACATTTCAAATGATTTTGCTAAGGAATCTTAAACATTCTTATATTAAATGCTTCCTTGATGATTTAGTACAATCTTCAAAGTGTATGTACTTAAAACTTAATAATAATAATAATAATAAAATTGTGATGAGATAAAGATCCTCAAATTATGATTGTTGATGAGGTGGCTTCCAATTTACACCGATCGTATAGTGGTTATAGCTATATGGATATTAATTCAATGGTGAGTACTTATAAAACAAGTCCTCCTCTCGTTGGTTAGAAGACCATATAATAGTTAAGTTAGTTTATAAAGATAGGTTTTTAGCTTGAACGAGTTGCAAGAGATTAGTTTTTGCATGTAGTAGATTGTTGATAATATAGCTATTTTGAGTTTAAAGGCATAATCTAAAATCTTTATATAGAAAAAGATATGATGGAATTACAAGTGGTAAAGATTATCAATTTTTTTTTTTTTTTGTGCTTGTTTTTACTATAATGTGCTTTTAAAAAGCTCGGTGGAGAATACTAATAGGTTGGTGATTGTTTGGAGTCTCTTAGAGATACCGTTGATGTAAAGACATTTATAACCGAATCATCCTCTCCGATTGTGAGAAATCTTGGTGGAATTATGTTTTTAAGGGATAATCTAGTTTGTTATGGAGTTCTTTATTTTTTGGGAGTCGTTGAAGCTTTGGTAGGTAAATCTCTTTCTTTTCCTTCATTTAGTTTATAGTAAAAAATAGTAAATTTAAAAGGGTGAGAGATTTATTTGGGATTGTTCCCAATATTAAGGAAGCAAACCCTAATATGGGCATGATGGTTCTTTTTAAAAGCATAAAAGTGGTCTACTTTGTCTTTTGAAGAGGGGAGTCTTAGTGGGGTTTTTCAAAAAAAATAAAAAACTCGTATTTTCTCATCATTTAGATGAGATTACTAACGATTATCCCTAACCAAAGTGATAGAATGGAGAGGCCTACAACCGAGGTTATAAACGAGAATATAGAGATAATTGTTCCTACTTGTATGATTGAGTACGACTATAAATTTTCTCTTTTTATATTTTTTATGAAGATATTTTTTTGCATTTTTTTGTGATCTGTTTACTAGTTTTATTCAAATAGGTGGACCATTCTTAAAAGATAATATTGGATAATTTATGTCATCAATTCGGGATTATCCTATTTTTAAGATTCTTTCTCTATTTTATTTCTCAAAAAAGTATATTATAGAGGTGAGCGGAAGGCTCTGTGTATACATTTTTACTCAAAAGACATATTCGATGAAAAAGTTATTTATGTGAGTTGCTAACTTGATTAGTGGTTGAAGAGATGAGTGGTTTATTATTAGGTTTAGGGGCCTACACCCATAGGTGGAGGTTGATCAATTTAAGAATGAATTTCTCTTTAGAGAAACAAAAAAATGGCTATAATGTCATCTCGACCCAATCTACTACCGACTTGGTTTTTTAGGAGTAGGTGAGAAGTATGATTGGCAAGCATCAAGTAAATCTTCTTATTAGGGGGTTGTCGCTAACCCATAGCCTACAAGATAAATGTGCTAAACTTAAGAAGTTTTTCTTTCTTACTTTTAAATTATGGTTGTTAATGCACCTTTTGCGGTTGGTGAAGTGTATGGGTGAGTTTATGATAGAGCCTAAAAAATTTAACATAAGGGTAATCTTGAAGAGAAACATTGGAAATATTAGGTCTCTCATTCCTCTTTTAGGGCCCATAACGATGAGGAAGACAAGGCTTGATGGGGCTTAAGTTTTTTTTTAAAAAAAATAAGAGAAAGAGGATTGGTTTCCTTTTTTATGGATTGCATACTTCATCGACATAAATCTCAAGCCCTCGCCCATCCTTGATCTTTTAGCCTAAGCCATTTCTCCCTCGATTAGGCGGATGCTCCTTCCATAGCTACTATTCAATAACTTAACATAAGGGGTTTCTCTCAATCTGGATAAAGCTGTTCGGCCTTAAGGCATCTTGATAAAGAGTCTACTATAGATCCCTCTATCTTTATGGGCCTTTCTATTGCCTTTGGGACTAGGATTTGCTATTGTTCCTTCACCGAAGAGTTTTGTTTGAGGAGGGACTTTTTAGACATTGTTTCACCTCATGGAATTGGAAGAAGAGGAGGTCGTCCATCCGTTCGGGTAGGTTTCCTTGCTTTCAGAGACATGCTAAATTTTGAGGGTCATTTTTTGGGTATTAACATGAGAAGGCCAATACAACTGAATTTGGTAGTAAGTACTTTCTCTTTCTGTCTCATTTTTTCTTGAACATTACCCCTATAGTCCTAACGTGGCAATGTCTCGCAGACCTTCTAAGCACAAGTTTATGGACTTCATAGGCGAGAGTTTTAAAAGAGAAAGACGTCCACTATCGTTGACTTGGTTTGTAGGTATAGATTTCCATTTAGGCAAAGGATAAAAAGATGTTGTTCCTTTATATAAAGATGGAAGGTAGGTTAAAAGAGGTGAATGAGTCTCTTACCAAGGCCACTTACTAATAGAGGTCAGTTGTGGCTCATAAGCTAGTGTTAGCAAGAAAGTTGAAAGAGATGGAGAAGGCAACTGCCTTTAAGTCTGGAAGAGGTGAAAGTTAGATTATGATTGTTGATGGCATGCTTCCAACCTAGATTGATCATGAGGTGGTTATAGATTGATGAGTGTTAGTTTAATGGCAAGTATTTACAAAACAAGATCTCTTCTAGTGGTTAAAGAACCCTCCGATGACTAAGTTAACTTATGAAGAGAGGTGTTTGTCCTGGATAGATTGTAAGAGATTAACTCTTGATGGAAGAGATAGTTGATAATATAACTATTTTGAGTTTAGAAAGCAACACATGTAACCTTTGGCTTGTTAATCTTTATATAGGATCGAGCATGATCAACTTCCATGGAATGGAGATTAAAGCAATCTTTATTTTTGTGTTCGACGAGTTCTTGACATCTACTTGCGGGTTTGGAATTTTTTAAAACCATGGTTGTTGTCCGAGAGTACTTGGGCAATAATAGTTGATGATTGTGTGACATAAAAATTTCAAGAAGTCGTGCTTTAATTAAATAAATAGGTTAAATACACCTTTTGTCTTTATACTATATCAAAAAAATCATTGCAATTCCTAGTTTATAACAAACCTTGTACTCGCTAAATGTTGATGCAAAGCAACTCTGTTTGTTAATTTTTTTCGATCATATTAACTAATTTTTGTTAGTTGATTGACGACCGAACAATCAAGTGACGATAAGGATCAATTTAAGGATAAATATATAATTTTCTTTTAACATAGTTTTGTTTTATTTTTAAGTTAAAATAATTAATAATTATTATAAAGTTATTAAAATTGAAAAAAATTCTAATTTTTTTAAATAATCAACATATTTTAATTTTAATTAATTTACAATAATAATTGTTAAAGGAAATTAAAAAAATTTAAAAATTATTTTTTCAATTTTTAATGATTTTATAATAATTATTAATAAATAATTTTTGAAAAAACTAAAATCTAAGTTTTTAATGATTTTATTAATAATTTTTTTTAAAAAATAGAAATATTTTTTAAAAAAATAAAAATAAATTTTTTTATTAAAATAATTAATAATCAGTAATAAATCATTAAAAATTTCTTTAAATTCTTTTTGTGAAAAAAGTATTTTTTAATAATAATTATAAAAATTAAAAATTTTAAAAATTATATATATATATATATATATATATATATATATATTTAAAAAATTTTCTTTATCAATAATTATTGTAAATAATTAAAATCTAAAGATTTTTTATTATTTTAATTTTTTTCATTAGAAAAATTTTCAATTTTTAATTATTTTATAATAAGTATTATAGCTTAAAAAAATGAAAAAAAGTTATTTAAAAAAATTATATTTTACACTTAAGTAAACACATGTCGTCAATTAATTGGTCAACGAGACTACTTTGTATTAATATTTAATAATATAAAATTTATTATGAAGTATAATTAAGAAGTGTATTTGATCCTTAAATAAATGTCTTTTTGTCTGTAAATGGGTGGAAAAATATATTTTTTTTATTCGGGTCATATGTTTGTACCGAATTATCGGATCTTCTCCAGTAATAAGAAACGAATTTTTAACTAGAACGATTTTAAATAAAATATAAAGTAATGTATCATAATTATGATAATGTAAATATATCATTTGTAACGAGTCAATAATACTTAAAAAGTAGTAATCAACACACACACCAGTGCATTAAACATCAATTCTTTCATAAAAAATTCATCTTTCCTAGTATTATTGGTGTATAAGAAATGTATATTTCATATCCTTAGAAACAGGTTTTTGTCCTAGCTATTTCTGTCTTTTCTGTTCTGGAACCGAACGCTACCTTAAAAACCGTTGCACCAAATCTGACATGGTTCAACAACAGCAGATCATTTCTCTACTCCACCTAGATGCTTATAAAATAGGTACTGACACAAAACAATTACACAGAAGAGGCCGAGTTAGTGTGAGCAAACCAATACAGTTATAGAGACAAAAGAAGCAGCAAACAAATGATTCATTGATGACGTCGGTTGTCATGTGGATGAAGGACAGATGGCGTGTCGTCTCCGAAACAGTGCTTATAAAGATCACTTGACTCTTGTTTTGAATCTTGATTCTCTTCTCTTCCCTTTCCTTGACAGGCAGTTTTATTAGGAGTAACAAACAGGAAAAAAACACAAATTAAGAATCAAACAAGTCTAAGCTAAAAACCAAAAGCAAAGCAAAAAAGAAATAGCAAGCAACAAAGCTAAAGTACCAGGACTAGGAGTAGTGTTAGTAGTACTTTCTTTTCTTTTATAAATACTAGCTTGCTAGCAGCTATTTTCATTTGAAACCATACATATGGGTGAAATGAGAGGAAGAGAGATACTTCAGCAGCTGCTGCTGCTGCTTGTATTTTGGTTCGTGTTTCTAACAACGACGTCGTATGGAGTCAATGTGACATACGATCATCGGGCCTTGTTGATTGATGGAACACGCAGAGTTTTGGTCTCTGGTTCGATTCATTATCCTCGCAGCGCTCCCGAGGTATGTTTGTATTTATTTTTTTTCTTCTAATTTTTGTATTTGTATTTATCTTGTAGTATTAATTTAATTTTGCAGATGTGGGCAGACCTTATACAAAAATCTAAAGATGGAGGATTGGATGTTATTGAGACTTATGTTTTCTGGAACGTACACGAGCCTGTTCAAAACCAGGTTACTTTCACGTTATTTATTTATTTATTTATTTTTGATATTCATCTATCGAGAAAAAGAATGCACTCCAAGGAAATTTATTATTTATTGTTAATCTTTTTATATTATTATTGTACGATAATAATGTTGCTTTTATATTTTTTTATTATTAATGAAACACTATTTGCGTTCTCAAAAAATAAAAATAATATATATTTATATATATATATATATATATATATATACATATATATATGGGAGTGCGTGTTTTAAATAATAAATTGTTTTACTCCATTTGTCATTTCACTGTTTTAACAGTATAATTTTCAAGGAAGATATGATTTGGTGAAATTTCTTAAGTTAGTGGGAGAAGCCGGACTTTATGCTCACCTCCGGATTGGTCCATATGTCTGCGCAGAGTGGAATTATGGGTAGGAATGCTTTGCCGCACTGAATTATCATCAACCGATGCTTTAACCACTTTTTTTTTTTTAAAGTTGATGTATGATTTATTTATTTATTTGGGAGCAGTGGGTTTCCTCTTTGGTTGCATTTTATACCGGGAATCAAGTTTCGAACTGATAACGAGCCATTCAAGGTTTTTATTTACTAACTGCTAGTTTACTATTTCTTATGCTTACACTTGATTAATTTTGGTGATTTTTTTTTTTAATTATTGCTTTGTTTCTGGAAAATATTGGCTAATGGATGTTTCTCTCTATTTCAGACTGAAATGCAGCGGTTCACAGCCAAGATTGTGGACATGATGAAGCAGGAGAAGCTCTATGCATCTCAAGGAGGGCCCATCATTTTATCGCAGGTTTGTTTATTTATTTATTTATTTTCAAGTATTCTTGATGACTTGATGACCAATTATGCATATTCTTTTTCTAGCTTCTCTTGCATCATCAGTCAACTTAATGTAATCGATCACTAATTGACTCTTTCGGTCATCGAGGAGTACTAATAGTTTTATACAAGCATAAAAATAAAAAAAAGCTTACAACCTTTTTCTTCCCAAAAAAAAATAAAATAAATAAAGGGTGGGGTTTATTTGAATTTTTTCCCCCTGAATTTCAGATTGAAAATGAGTATGGAAGCGTTGATTCAAATTATGGGCCTGCTGCTAAGAGCTATATCAATTGGGCAGCAAGCATGGCTGTGTCTCTGGATACTGGAGTTCCCTGGGTTATGTGCCAGCAAGCAGATGCTCCTGATCCCATTGTGAGTTCATTTTCCTGTGGCTCCTCAATTCAGAATCACTGCGTGTGCATGTTTGTGTAAAACAATCAGACTTAAGTTACAGACTCCAGTCCACATGCCTTCTGCCAATTAGAATATCACACCCATGCTTTACATGACATCCTCTGTTTGTTTGGATGTTGTTTTGAAATTTTTCCAGATAAATACCTGCAATGGATTCTACTGTGACCAGTTCACCCCTAATTCTAAAAATAAACCGAAAATGTGGACTGAGAATTGGAGTGGATGGTAAGGATTTGGATATAACCTTTATGAATTGTGATAGTTTGGTTGGTATAAGATTCCTAATCACTCACATTATTCTCAATATTTTAAAAATGATAGGTTCCTTTCCTTTGGTGGTGCTGTTCCCTATAGACCTGTTGAAGACCTTGCATTTGCAGTGGCACGGTTCTACCAGCTAGGGGGAACTTTTCAAAACTATTATATGGTACTGCAATGATACTGAGGAGTCCATGAAGTTTGAACATTCCCATGTTTTCCATCTGGCATAAAACTATCTCTCAAACCAAATAATGTAAATCGATGTATTAAATCTGATTTTTATTTCTCAACTTCAGTACCATGGTGGGACTAACTTTGGCCGGAGTTCTGGGGGACCCTTTATTTCTACAAGTTATGATTACGATGCTCCTCTTGATGAATACGGTATGCCTTCTATCTATGTGTTAGCTTCAACAGTTGTGTGCAACTTAGTATTTATAGTCGACATGATGTTGTAATGATATTGGACCACCTGCAATGGGCTAATGGTTATTATGGGAATTAACCTATAATTACTCTGAAGAATTTTTCAACTTCCATGTATAAGAGGATTCAACATATTTGACCTGTATTGCAGGACTTAGAAGACAACCTAAGTGGGGCCACCTGAAGGATTTGCATAAGGCCATAAAGCTTTGTGAAGAAGCATTAGTGGCGACTGATCCAGCAACTTCGTCTCTAGGTCAAAACTTGGAGGTATATTCCTATTTGATGAAATTATTTATTTTTCTTCACATAAGAAACATCAATTTCTGTATGGGTGGACAAATACAATACTTATATATGCTTCTTCGAGGACCCAAAAGTATTACAATTCTTTAAGAACTACTATTGTTTAGTTCAAATTCTGTAAGGTGCCCTACTTAGGGGGTCATGTTGTTGATTTCACCTGCTCATCAACGCTGTTAAGCACTCACAATTCAAATTCAGAGAAACACAAAAGGTTTCCAATGAAATTGCTTTAGCTTGCAGACCATGTTTATTTTGATTGTCAATATGAAATGGAATTTTATTGGCTTGTTTATGCAAAACCTTTTACATTGAACTGTCATGATACTGTAAAACAGTAGATTAAACATTTGTGCCCTTTGTAAGAATTCTTGATATGTTGCTCACTGTTTACATGTAAAAAATTGTGTGGTTTAGTTCTTTGTTTTTTTTTTTTCTTTTCTGGAAATTAATGTAGATGTATTTTAGAAGATACTGGCTCCTGAAATATGTTCATAGATTACCGGAGTCCTTCAACTTATCATGTGCTTTCTGTGCTCGCAGGAAGTTATCTATAATTTCTCTTGATGTATTTTCCTTTCAGGCCACTGTTTATAAAACCGGAACAGGGCTCTGTTCTGCTTTTCTCGCCAATTTTGGCACCTCTGACAAAACTGTAAATTTCAATGGCAATTCGTATAATTTGCCTGGATGGTCTGTGAGCGTCTTACCAGACTGCAAGAATGTAGCTCTTAATACAGCAAAGGTTTGCCTCATTACTATGCCTTAAATTATTATTATTATTTTTTTTTTTTTGCACTTTCTAGACTGTTCAATAATCTGGTTAAATATGTTGATCCTTCACTGTGTAGTCTAATTGATAGCATAAAGGCTTCATTTTCAAGCAATAGCCACCATTATTACTAATTGTTATTTTGTCTATTTCATACTGAATGACACATCTTTGAGACAAGTTTCTGCAATCACTTCTTTCATACTAATTGTTATTTTCTAGTTTTGGTCCATTGAGGTTACCTTTTCTGAAGTTTGAGGAATTTATTAGGAGATATAACTGACCATATTTGACTGCAATCCAATTGGTCAATATTATTTGGCAGCTTTTTTAGGATAAGTAATTGACCATGCTATGCATCTCTTCTTGCTTTGGCAAATTTGGATGTATAGGTGGAGCTGGTTATTAATGGGTTTGCTTTTCCATTTCTTTGTGAATTACATCAGAATTACTCTTTATCAATTCGAAAAGGCCTAAAGGCTTAAAAAGTACACATTAATTCAGTACTTAGAAAAGACTGAATGTTTTAGTCTTTTACTTTTGGGACGCTATAAGGGGGTAAAGTTATTTCCCAACTTTTATGTTACTTCGTTTAAACTTCCTGCATGTGAAGCATCTTATTGCATGCTGATACATGGGAGCTGTGGAGGCAACTAGCAAATAGTGGTTCTGTTTAAAATATGTAAATGCATGTTTTGAAACTTTCAGTGTGATTTTTCCTAACTATTCCTGTCAGGTAAGCAATACCATTCTGCCTTTTTGATGACAATCACTTCATTTGTGTTGTTGCAGATTTCCCAAAAATAAAGGGTTGGCCTTTTAAAGCTATTTAGCTGATAGAAGTATTTTTTTCTTTCTTGTGGATTTTAGCCCTTTATATCCTGCTAGCAGAGTAACCAAAATATTTGAACTTTCTCATTACAGATTAACTCTATGACAGTGATTCCAAGCTTTACACGTCAATCTCTAAAAGGAGATGCGGATTCTGATGATACAATTAGCTCTGGCTGGAGCTGGATAAATGAACCAGTAGGTATCTCAAAGAAGGATGCATTTGTGAAACCTGGACTATTGGAGCAGATAAATACTACAGCTGATAAAAGCGACTACTTATGGTACTCACTGAGGTACATCAGTCTACTAATTCCAAAATTTTTTTCATGGAGGCATGGTCTTTTTGCTTCTTCAATCTGTTATATTGATATGTTCGATGTCTAAAATTTATGATTAATTGTTGTGTATGATATGTAAATCCTTTCTGGTTATCTTGTCACAGTACTGTTATCAAAGATAATGACCCTTTTCTTGAAGATGGATCTCAAACTGTTCTTCATGTGGAATCTCTTGGCCACGCCCTTCATGCTTTTGTTAATGAAAAGCTTGCAGGTGATGTAAAATAGACTATGAACCTAAAATTTACATCTTCTTGTTGTCTATATGGAAGAAAGCTGCAGTGTAGTTGCAATTTTGGCCTGAACATCTGCAAAAAGAGCTCATCTTTGTTTGTTATGTCAATATAACTTTTGGAGCATGTACAGGTAGTGGAACAGGAAATGCTGGTAATTCTAAGGTTGCGATGGAGATTCCCGTCACACTCTTACCCGGGAAGAACAAGATTGATCTCCTTAGTTTGACTGCAGGACTACAGGTTCAACTTCCTCACTAGATGTCTAGATTTACAAAATTTTTAATTTTGTAGAAAACTTATTTTCTTAACGTTTGGATGCATTAGTTTTCAATTTGCTAAGAATCTGATATCTCAGCATGAATAAATTCCATCACTCATACACTATTAGTTCATGCCCCAAGTTTCACACAGGTTGTCAATTGGGAGATCATGGGTACATAGATTAAGACCAGTGATTATAAGTGATAGGCCCCCGGTATTGTTATTATTATTATTATTTTTAACCACCCTGGTGTTATAATTTGAAGCGACACTAATTCATGCAAATCTATATTTTATGTCAGAACTATGGAGCTTTTTTTGACTTAAGAGGCGCGGGGATTACTGGTCCAGTAAAACTGAAAGGCCTGAAAAATGGCACTACTATTGACCTTTCTTCGCTGCCGTGGACATATCAGGTCAGTCTTTGTTTTCCAGAGTCTTGGTCTGACAGAAACTGCAGTTAATACCAGAGAATGATGAATACTTAAGATTTGTTTTTAGGACAGTTTTCCTTTTTACTTAATAAGTAGAGCGTGTAGCCAAAAAAATCAATGCAGCATTCTAAAATTTCCTGTCTTCATCTTTTAAATTGAGAATGCAGATTGGACTTAAAGGTGAAGAATTAGGCCTGCCTAGTGGAAGTTCTCAATGGGCTACACAACCTGCCTTCCCCAAGAAGAAGCCTTTGATCTGGTACAAGGTAGCTTTCAAATTTTGGTTAGTTTGGCTATTGATGATCTACGTTTAATTACAAACAGAATCCATAATATAATCAGGCCATATGCTATGATCCTTCCAGTATCTGTACTGTGATATTGAGGCTTGCTCAACATTTCGTTGCAGGCTGAGACTATTTCCTAAGCACATGAATTTTTCTAGTATTAGATTGTAAAGGAGATTTAGACAGAAGTAAACTTTGGAACTGGCTCTTCTTGAGACTAAGCTAGGTCAAGAGTAGACCTGTTCATGGGCTGGGCTGATCCTGACCAGCCTCCCTCTAATTTTACTGGGCCAGGGCCCAAACTGGCTCGGTCATTCAGGCCTGCTATTGAACCCGAGCTCAGCCCATGACGAGCCACAGGTTACTGGATTTTAAGCTTATCTGAAAAAAAAAAAAAGAAAAAACTTTTGATTAGCGTTAATCATGATTTATTTAATATAAATTTTTTTTGAAAAATGTTTCTTTTCTCATAAATAATTTCATAATATCTATTTTTTTTTTTTAATATCATCTATATCTCAAAATAAATAAATAAATAAATTGGAAAAGGACGTGACTGGATGGAAGAAACTAATTAATTAGCTTTTGAACTTAGAAAGACTATTTAAATTTTTTTTCAAAATTAGAAGGGTTAATTTACTTAGAGGTAGAGTTTGTGGTTGCTAAGGATTTTAGGAATTAGGGTTACAACTTTTAAATGGGTGGGCTGGGCCGACTGAAAAAATGCCAAGTCCAGCCCTGGCCTCTCTATCAACCAGGCCTACCTTGTAGGCCAAAATTCCTTACCTAGGCCGGCCATTATTAGTTGAGCCCGGACTAGCCTGTCGGTTTGCGACAACTCATGAACACCTCTAGTCGAGAGCAGGACGATTATCTAATTAAGTTAATGATTTGATAGTTGAAAGCTGGGATAGCAAACAAAAATTAAACATAATAGAGGATGATATTCAATCAAAAACACAAGTTCCATAATAACGATTTGATTTAAGAGCAACATGCTTTAGTGTTTTGTTCCATTCCAATGTTTTATTGTAGTTAATTGTTGCAAATTGTGGAACTCTAGCATGCTTCAGTGCTTTGAATAGGGATGGCAATTTCACTTAACCCTACCCAACGAGTACCTGGGTTGGGTTGGTTCTTTTTACAAGCCCGGTTCCATCTAAGTCAGGTATGGGGACAGGTGAAGCATCATTCATCCTGATCCATCACTTGACTTGGTATTTTTATTAACCTTTACTTTTTTTAAACTAAATTTCACTTTATAAATAACAAAAATCCTTTTGCTTTAATTTTTATATATACATATTATCATTACAATATCATATTGCAAATCCTATGAGAATCAATCGAAATTTCTAACTTTATAATTGTGAATATATGATAATAATGAATATGTAAAATTAGTATAATTAGTGTCCTTGGTATTGTATATAATCTCTCTCTAGAAAATATAAGTGGTATATGATGTAAGTTAGGTAGTCGTTCGATTCTTTTGATGCATACGATATAAGCCATTTAACAAATAATAAGTATATAATTCAACTCTCTCTCTCTCTCTATGTATATATGATTTCTAAATATAAAAGAGATCTTAACTGATTTGTATAAATAATTGTACTAATAACTAATCTAGTAATAATATTTGTAATGTGAATTGGAAAAAAAGAGCATTTCTTGCGCTAATTTATTAGGATGATCACATTACAAATTAGATCATTCCTTGCTCTAATTTATTAGTGTATGATTTTGTAAGGTGTTACATGAAATTTAAAGGTTTGTTTTTTTTTTAAGAAAATAAATATCTGGTTCGGGTTGGGGTACCTGGTGGGTGAAAAAGGCCCGACCCATTGCGACTGGGTGTGGTTATGTACGATGGTTATGGGTGTACCGAGTAGGGTGCTAGTACATAAAAACCTTACCCAATCCCTACTCATTAAGTAACATTAATTCTACTTGTAAAAACATGAGAGGGATTAAAGGAGGAAGAGGGTCACTCCCGCAGTGTAACCCAAGGCCTGATGAGTCTTAAATAAATGCGGAAAGAAATTACTATGATAATTATCATACTCACGTCTCCCAATAAAAAAAAGATACATACTGATTTTGTAGGAGCAGATGACCTTCCTATCATTTCCCGTTCCTGGTGTCTGAGATATGCATATATAATATATGAACTTGAGAGTTCATATATATAACACAACCATCATAGGCATTAGAAGTTGCTGATCTAGTAAACTGGAGTAAATTTTTTTGAGATTTTTCACATACATGATATTTTGTGATTTCTTAAAACAACTGGAGAGATTAACTCATGTTTTCTTCATGTCAACGCTCGTCATATCTGAAGTTATATATGCTTCTGGTCTTTCATATGGTTAAACATGGCAAATTTCACGCTATAGTTTCATTTTGTTTTTACATGTACATATTTTTGGACGTTTTCAACACTCCAAACAGTTCCCTTATTTATGGTCTTTAATTGAATAACTTTGCTACACCAGAATCGCATTTGGTCTGTCACCATTTGGTTGCTCTAAATTTGGCGGAATTGATTTCTTGAAACTGACAACTTCTGGTGCTCATGTTCCAGACCAGTTTTGATGCCCCTGCTGGCAATGACCCAATTGCAATTGATTTCACGGGGATGGGGAAGGGTGAGGCATGGGTGAATGGACAAAGCATCGGACGTTATTGGCCTACCAATGTGTCTCCAAATAATGGTTGTTCCAGCTGCAATTACAGAGGATCTTACAGTTCAAGCAAATGCCTCAAGAACTGTGCAAAGCCTTCTCAGACATTGTAAGTGCTCAAAAATCTAATGGGAAATGTTTGGAACGTTTCGAAGTTTTTATTTGTGATATTAATAATGTTTCAGATACCATGTACCCCGTTCATGGGTGGAATCAAGGGGCAACACTCTTGTATTGTTTGAGGAAATTGGTGGGGATCCAACTCAGATAGCTTTTGCTACAAAACAGAGTGGAAGTTTGTGCTCACATGTGTCAGAGTCTCACCCATTACCCGTAGATATGTGGAGTTCAAATTCAGAAGCAAAAAGAAAAGCGGGATCTGTACTATCATTGGAGTGCCCCTTTCCCGATCAGGTCATTTCTTCAATCAAATTTGCAAGCTTCGGAAACCCTCTTGGAACTTGTGGGAGCTTCAGTCACGGTCAGTGCAAAAGCACTAGGGCCCTTTCTATCGTACAGAAGGTGTGATTCTGCTCATTATTTTGATATCGTTCTATGTATATATCTAAAACTTGTACTTTTTTACTGACAAGTGTTAATTTTTACAGGCATGCATTGGATCGAAGAGTTGCCGCATTGGAGTATCAGCCAGTACATTTGGTGACCCATGCACAGGAGTAGCAAAGAGTTTAGCAGTTGAAGCTTCCTGCACCTAAGATGTTGCTTCTTGGGACATGAATAATATCCCAAGTAAGCATAAAATCCAATTACCTTTTTTTTTTTTTTCTAAATATACCAGGAAAAAAAAAGTGCTTCATAGCCTCCCTCTCAAACAGGCTTCAAGACATTTTCCTGTATGCAACTCTTTATTCTTGGCAGAAAGAAAATATTGTGCCTTCTTTGAAACTGTTCTAATCAACCGTGCAATAATACTGGTGTCATTTTTGGGAGAAAAAAGATTGCTATTCCAATGGCGGGGAAAAACAGATTCAGGAATGTGCCCCTACAAGCTATTTAAGTAGCTCGTGGCATTTTTTTTGTTTTTTAGGGAACAGAAATTGCAACCCATGGATGTTGGTTTCATCATCTATCTTGTGTGTTTTTCATTGGGAACAAAAAGCGATGAACACAAATGTGATTTAATAAACAACCAGGGAAAAAGAAAAAAGAAGAGAAGCATTTAGTAAAGTAATGACAGGAGCAACTTCTTGCTCTTATTTATCTTTTAAATCCAAAGACAAAGCTTACCAAACAAAAGTTGTCAACAGGATATGAATGTGATTTTATTTTATTTTTTTCATTTTGTTACCAGTATTTTAGATACTCCTATGTGGTTGCAGTGCCAGACTGTTGTTGAAACCTGCAAACATTGCAAACAGGAGAAGAGAGGGAGGGAGTCTGGTACTTGTTTTCTCCCCCATCGTTGGCATAGGAACCCCGATCTTGACAGGGCTAACATAATCGGGCCTGTAAGTCTTTCCCAAGACACCTTCGACGAGATCTGTTAGGTTCAGGAATTTGAACTGTGTTTCCAAATGAGCAAAGGCATCGTTTTCTGGTAGCTGGTAGTTGTGTACTCTGTTTTCTTCTTTCCCAATAGGCCTCACCCTTACATTTAGCTCGACCAGGTTGGCAACTTGCACCCTTACAGTATTAGTATCATCAGTTCGTTCCACCACAACCTCTCTTTCTTCGCCATTGGCTCTCCATTCGGTGTCTCCATCGGTAGGAATGTCATCAACTGTCTGACCATCCCACTTCACAGTGAGAGCATCGATGTTATCGTCCCATTTTGAGACTCTCTTTGCTGCAATGACTAGTGTATGAGTGTCAAACATGATGGAGAGGGCTTGCACCCAGGTGAAATCGCGAGTCCTGCCTTCTGGTCGAGTTCCAATGAAGTGTGCATTAATTTGGAGATTATCATCAGAGACAATAGCAAAGTTCCCTCCCTTTGCTCCATGGAAGTAGAACATCACTCCATCACCACCAACGAATCGAGGATCATAACAGAGGGAGCCATATCCTTCGCAGTTTGGTCTTCGAACTGAGAAGGAGCCAAATATAGAGTTAAAAAGTTACTAAACTGCACCACAGACAAGTTATTAATTTCAAAAGCAGCAGCAGGAATATATATTTATATCAATTATTTAAGCACAAATAGCTTACACTTGCAAGTGACTTCACATTTGCTACTGCAGTCAATGAAGCATCCCTTGTGCTTCTTGTTTTGCACGGGCTTCCTCACTTTGCATTGATCTGGACACACAAGCGTCTTGTTTTGGCAAGCCCCCTTGCTTGGCAGAAAGCTCGTTCATGTCCTGAAGATGATGGAGACAACATATAGTAATGCGTTATTGCTGCGTCATAGGGTGACTTCTTGCTATTGTCGCTATCACCTTGAAGGCAGTAGGCTTTCCTTGAAACAAATACAAGGAAGAAAGCTGCTAGAATGCAGGACTTTCTTTTAATATCCATGCCTGCAACTCTCTCTTGAATTTGTTGTTTTTTAAGAGGTGTCAATAGAGAGAGGATATGGAAACGATAGGGTTTTGAAAGGTATAAATATACGGAGAAGCTGAGAACTGGACGTTGACATGAGGTGCAACTAGGCCTTGGCGTTCGGCATAATTCCGGTAAATTTGCTTCTTCTCTTGAGCAAGAGTTGAAAAACATTTCTTCTGCTAATCTATGAGTCTACCGTCTAGCCAGTGGGCCAATGGATGCATTGTTGACAGTTAATTTAAGTTGTTTTTGTTTGCTTGAATTTCATGGGCAAGTTCTCTCAATTTTTAATTAAACAGACCTTTCCAAGAAATGTTTAGAGAATTCATGCACGCCCCTACACACACACACACACGCACGTATGTTTGTGTATGTGTGCGCGCGTGTTGACAAAGGCGCTACGCTATGTATATAGCATCTCTCAGTGCACAGTTTTGTTTCCTTGCATGGCCCGAAAAACACTAAGCTCTCTTTTACTTTTAGCGTAACTTATGACAAAGATCCTTTTTCTTTCTACCCTCCTCAGTTTCGATCGGAACTACCAGTCCAGTCCTTAGGCCGCAGAGGAGTGAACGCATGAGATAGATTCAATTAACTATTTATTTATATGTCTCTCGAAATCTCAATTCTGAATGGGGCCTTGTAACCTATTAAGTTAAGAGAATAGGTATATGTATGCATGTATGTATGCTTCCCCTTGTTCTTACAAGCTCTAGTGTTGTAGTTTTAGGAATACAACAACTAATTGGCTCTCAGGAAAAACCTCTTCAAAAGTGCATACAAAGAAGGATACATGGTTTCAGACATAATATAATATATGAGATGTTGGGAATTAATTAATATTAGTTACCTTATAATAGTTCTCAATAAAGGAATTGTTTTTTATTTTTGATTTTTAAAAAAAATTACAAAGAAAAAGAAAAGCCTCGAACTCAACACTTTATATATATATATATATAAAGATGTTGATACCAGTTAAACTAAAACTATTCAATTCATGACGTGTGTGGTTCTTTTTTTCCATTCAGAAAATATTTGGATTTGGACCTTCCTAATAGCATCTAATATTTGATTGGAACTTAGCATTACAATAACTGAATATTATACTTGCCTATTGCAAGTCTAGTTTCTGAAATATGGAAACATTAATTTTTTTTTTTTTGTTATTTTTCTTAATGTTTAATATTTTTATTTTAGTAGGAATGCATGTGGTGGGCTTCCAGGCAGAATTTATTTAAAGTCTCTTAACCAATGCCACTTGGGAACTGGTTAGATAAACCTTTTAATTAAGAGTGCAAGTATTTTATTTTAGATTAATTTTAATTCATCTTCCTGTGATTTAAAGCGAATTCAGAGTTTCTCCTCATGAGTTTTTAATTGTATCAATGTTTTCCCTTTTTTGAGGTTTCGAAAGTGAATCAACCAACAAAAACTTTTTAATCAGTCTGATCTAAGCTTTTAAAATTTAACAAGATAAAGTTTTCTACTTTCTATTAAAAAATTCAAATGACATCACTTTTTTTTTTAATGTTTTTTCTTTGATGAGTGAAGCATCTCATCTCATTTGAGTGTCAATATTAATTAGTTTTATCAAATATTTTGTTACTTTGATAGTTGATGTTTATATCATAGTAGCAAGTACAAAAGTTTTAAAGTTGTTTTTATTTGGTCATTAGACTTCTTAGTTTTAACGTTTCAATCTTTTATGGTCTTTCTAATTTAATCATTTTTAAATTTTCAAATTATTTTTTTTCCAATGTAAACCTTATAGAAAAAGAATAAATTTTATTTTTGTATTGTATATTTTTAAATATAATTGATGTACGTGGTATCATTTGTACTTTTAATTGGAGAAGAAGATTTGATCTAATCACATTATTTTAGGATGATTATATTTAATCGGATTTCAAAAGTTTATGGATTGAAAAGCTTGTTTCGTTAGTTTGGATAAACCGAAGGAAAGCTTTGATAAATGTTGGGGTTTTGACATAAACAAAATGCAACAATAGCAAGAATTATATGTTTCTCTTTCGTGAATATAATTTATTATACTTTTCATTGATGTAAAACATCCTTAAATACATGAAAATTTTCAACTTCCAACTAAAAGAAAAACTCCTAAACTCTAAGAACATGGAGCATGACCAACAAATTAACTATCTAAGGCATGACTAACATAATAACTAACATTATCTCTTAAACTTTAGTAATATGTAGCAAGACTATCAACATTCCTCCATGTCAACAATCCTATCAACATTAGCATTATCTTCCAACACCAACTTTTGAGACATAACATTTAACACTCATTCTTGGCTCTGCAACCGCAAACTCCAAGCCTTTACATCAAGAAAAAGAACTCATATATAGCTTTAGGAAGTATTTTGGTTAAAATATCAACATTCGGATTTTCTATTTTCTAGTAAATCAATTATGCCTCTCCTTCATTTTGTACTTCTCTCAAGAAATACAATTTTATCTTGAAATGTTTTGTTTTTTCATGAAACATGGATTGTTTACAATTCAAATTGTAGTATGGTTATCAATAAATACTTATTTACTTTCGTTTAGATCCATATGCAAATGTATCATGAGCTTTCTAATTCAAATGGTTTGATTCATAACTATGGCAGATTGCAATATATTCTCGCTTTAGTTGTAGGTTAAGCTATAACCTCTTGCTTTTTAGAGCACCATGAAAAAAAAAAAATCCAAAATCAAAGCTAAAGTAATATCCTTAAGTGCTCTTCATGTCATAAATGCAAACAACCCAATCACTATAAGAATATTCATGAAAACTAAAAATTTTAATTTAATCGAACCTTATGACATAATCAATTATGCCCTTAACGTATCTAACAATTCTTTTTGCTGCTCTGTAAATGAATTTCACTTACACGATGTATGCACCGTGATAGCAAACTTACTCGCATGCATGATATTTGGCCCGGTTGTATTTAGATACATTAGGCGACCTTAGGCTCCTATAGAGCCCTTTATCGACCTTTTTAGAACCATCTTCCTTTGAAAACTTTTCTTTTTGATTCAATGGTGTTATAGATGGCTTGCACTTTTCCATGCTAAACTTTATGAATATCTCTTTAGTATATTTTTGTTGACATATAAATATTTTATTATGATTTTATTGTACCTACATTTCAAGGAAGAAAGACATCTTTTCAAAGTCTCGCCATCTCAAAGACATCTGTTATTTTGGATTTGAACATGTCAATTAGCTCGCATTACTTTCCGTCACTAGCAAATCATCAATATATAGCAATATGACAAGTATATCTTCATCGACCTTTTTAATAGACAAAGTAAATTCTGGGACTTATTTTAAGCTATATAAGGCTTTTTTCAACGAGATATACCTTCTTTTCATGTCCTTGAACAACAAAACCTTGAGGCTTCTCTAAAAAAAATATCTTCCTCCAAATATCCATTCAAGAAAGTTGACTTCACATTCATTTGATGTATTGTCTAGCCATTTTGAATAGAAAGAGATAGCAACATTTGTATGGTATCCAGTCTAGCAATAGAGTCAAATGTTTTTGAGAAATCCACCCCAAATATTTGAGCATATCCTTTCACAACCATCCTTGCTTTGTACTTATTCATTGAACCATCAAGAATGAGTTTTGTTCTATAAACCCATTTCAATCTTATAGCTTTCTTATGTACAAGTCTATTCACATGCTCTCATGTTTGATTTTATTCAATCACTTTAAGTTCCTCCTTCATTGCTTCAGCTTCATTTCGATCGCTTGCTACTTCTTCATATCACAAGCTTTATGATTGTTATATTACACCTCTAATAAATATTAGAGACTATTGTGGTGCCTCTTACTTGAATTTCATCCGTGTTGTCATTTTTCTTATAAGGCTTAAGACTTTTTTTTTCCAATATCATTCCAACTCTAGCTTTAAGAAATTAACATCGTTACTAATAATTAATTTTTCAGATTGTGGCAGATACATCTTGTAGGTTATTGTTACATGAACCTACTTCAGTGCTTGTTGTTGTTATTCTGATTTTTTCCCCTAATACTTATCGTCATTGTTGTTCTATATAATCTAGTTTGAAAAGCACCCTTTATAAATCCTTCTTGACTCACATGCCTCTTTTGTTTCAAGCACTCGTAATGCATTAATGAATTATGTTAAAGAAATGTTTGACAATCTTTTAACTCCTTTAAAGAATAGATTTTAGCCTCTATAAACAATTATTTCATCGAATAATCCTTACCAAATATTTGCATCTTATTTATTATTCCGAGCAACTTGTTAAAATAGTCTTTGATTGGTTGTAATTTCTTCATTCTTTGTATTTCAAATTCCTAGTCAAATTCAACATTTGCATGTTATTTGTCCTCTCATTGCCTAGTATTCCTTGAGATAATCTCATATATCTTTTATAGATTCTACTTTCATAATTTTGGTAAAAATATTATTTGATAGAGTAGAGAATAGACAAGCCTTAGTCTTGGATTTTCTAGTCTTTTTCTCCTTGTCATTCTTGAGTTGGGCCATGGTTAAATTAGTTGGAAATGAAGGAACATCATAATCACCCTCCACTCGCCTCCTAAAGATCTAGTGCTTCAAGATGAACTGTTATTCGAAAAGCTCAAGCTTGATAGTTTTCACCGTCAAAGATTAGTGGGAAAACTTATATGAATAATGCTTCGATTTTATCTCGTTAAAGTTATTTATAGGTTTTTGTGTTTGTGTAAGATTTGAAATATGTGTTTTAAGGCTCACTTATTCTCATAGGTCCCTTAAGAAAAAGCTTTGATACCAATTTGTTGGTGTTTTGATGGGAAAAAAAGTGCAATAATAGTAAGAATTATATGTTTCTCTTTTGTGATAGCAATCTTCTACACTTTTCATTGTTGTAAAAATCTTTAAATACATGAAAATTTTCAACTACCAACTAAAAAACTCTTAAAATGTAAGAACATGGAGCATGACTA